GTAACAAATAAATAAAAAAGTTTTGATACTTCTTCACTGAAATACAGTCTTGTCACTTTTGATGTTTTATGTGCATTTATTGGATTTTTGTTTAAACGTGGCATTATTTTATTTATTTATTTATTTATTTATTTATTTAGTTATTTAGTTATTTATTTGGTTAGTTTTTGTTCTGTTGCCTCTGTACCATGCAGCCTCTGACTTGGTTGCATTTCTCCCCACGGTCTCAATCATAGCCTCTTATCATTTTCCTTCACTTAGATCCTCTCCCTCATCAGCTTCTCCTGTTTTTTTTAATTTTATTTTATTTTATTTTATTTTTTCCACCTCGCTCCTCCTCCTGCTGTTTCTTTGCACTTTCTCATCACTGTCACATCTGGCTGTCTGCACCTCATCGCTGCTCTGGAAGCTCTGCAGTGGAAAAAAAAAAACATTAAGACAATTTGAGATGTTAAAGTGGAAATTAGACACATAGAGATTAAATCAAAAATGAAAGGAGRTGAAAATAAAAGCAAAAACCCTGCAGTGTAAGGTCCGAAGTAAAAGTGATGTGGACACTTTTGAGTCGTGCCCGTTTCAGCCTGAAGGCAGCCGTTCTCTCATAGGTAAAACCAGATGAAAGAGGGGGTCGTGAGGGGCTTCCATATGTCAGACGACATCAGCCGCTTGTAGGCGCAGACCCTGGCAGAGAAGGCCAAACACTTCCAGTCACAAATAACTTGATATGAATTTCGAAGTGGCTCTTTGTCAAAGCGTGCTCTGAGACTGGCTCCTGGTGGGGGGTGGGGGGGTAGGTGTGTCTGCAGCAGCTGGGCTGAATGAATTCTGGCTGGAGATTTATATCAGCTGCTTCAGGCCACATGATTACATGCACGGTGATATTCTGCTAAAAAGAAAATAAAAAAAATAAACTACAAACTCTTTATTGTTTATGACTCGGATCCTGGCGTTTGTTGTTAGAAGCCATTCAGTTGGAGTCTTCATAAAGTAACAAAGCTTTGGTCTGAATTCCTCCTTGTTTAAACTGTACTAGTCCCTCTTCCACTATTTTTCTGGTGTGTGTCTCAAAGCAGCTGATGTTACTGTTCCTCTGAGCTTTAAGCCCCGCCCCACTCCAGCTTCCAGACCGTTCCACTCCGGTTTGAGAGAGAGGGATACGTTTTCCAGCAGTGTAGAGACATTTTACAGTTTAATTAAAGATGTCAGCAACATAAGACTTGTCCATCCAGTCTCACATGTTAGAGCCAGACTCTGACCCAGAACCAGAGTCTGGGTCAGAACCAGAGGAGAATTAAGACAAGGACATTGTAGTTGGTAAGTCCAGACATTGTTTGGCAATTCTGTTGCAGATAATTTGACATAATTCAGAAAATCTCACAGCAAATGAAGAGAACTGGACGGGCTGAACAATCTGACCCAAACAGAATATAAATATATCTCTTTGCAGCATCAGGAGAGACTAAATTAATCTTTTCTGCCTCCCAGAGACTCCAGGTACACAACAAAAGGTATTTAACAGACAAAAATATATATGTCCCATTTGAACCAGTAATTTAGTTTAATCTAGTACTTTTGGTATTTCACAAAATAAATTAAACACAAAAATGCAAAGTACACTTTGAGGAAGACCCTTCCTGTTCCTGTTCTTTGATGAATCAGAGACACACTGACAATAATCTTCAAATGTTTCAGCCTCCAGGAATTGTGGAAAGACACTATCTTTTCTTTTTCTCTCTTTTATGAAGAATGTTCTATTGTATCCAGAGCTGTTGTATAATAT